TCTGCTGCCTTTCCGAGGCTCCTCCTGGCTGGTACAAGATGTACAGGCGGTAGATGATGTTCACCATGCTCAACTGCCTGTTGGCCACCAGCTCCTTCTTTACGCTCTCCGGGAGCGCCTTGAGGACCATGGCCACCCCTCTCTGCTCAGTGCGAGGCAAGTCCATGCAGACCAGCGGCAGCTCCGGCTTGATGCGCAGTCTCTGCAACGGGCTCGCCACCAACCACTCCGCGTAGGCCTCCTTCGCACTAGCGCACACCTCCTCCCACCACATCGCGCTGTAGGTCGAAATGTCCTTCATGTAGTGGTCGATCGTGGCCATCCAGTCCCCAAATGTCAGCGGGCTTCCGTCGCCCACCAGCTCCGGCAGATCCGTAGCCCGTCCAGTCTCGTTGGGCATCTCCTTGACCTCCGGCCGACTCTTTGGCTTCTGCTGTAGCAGGGGCGCCACTGGAATTGCTGGCTTCCCTTCCTCGGGTTTCCGTGCCTCACCCCCGTCCTTGGAAGTCGACCTCGACCTTGTCCACCTCGGTCTGCTTGCCGCCGGCTTCTCCTCCCTTGACGTAGACCTCGAGCGCCCCCATGCCGGCTTGTAACTCACCCCGTCCATGACCCAACCGTTTTCTGGGTTTGGCCATTCATGATCATAAGGGGGTGGATCCTGCGGCACCCTGGTGCCACCCGGCGTCATCTCCAGCTTTTGCCTCTTGGATCGAATTCCCGGAGGCGGTGGTGGGGGGGTTTCCGGCCTCGGTGGCTGCGGCTCCTCCTCTTGCTGCGGCGTGTGAAATTGCTGAGGCCGTTGTTCCAGCACCGTGATCTGGTCCGTCAAGAGCTCCACGTGCTTCTCAGCCTGCCGCGCCCGTGATTCCCACAGCTCCGCCATCCTCCGGTTCTGCTCGGCCTCCGCTTCCACCACAATCTTCTCCAGCTCCAGCCGCTCCACCTTATGTCGCAGCTCATTCCGTTGCCGCAACGCCTCAGCCAGGTTCATGTTGACCGCACCGTACTCCTCGATCATCACCCTGCTGAGTTCCCCCTCCAGACGGTCCTCAGGTGTGGCTGGCCTTCCCTTGTCTCCTGCGCTTCCGGCGCCATCCCAATCCTCTCCGCCTCCACCTGAAGGCCCCTTGTTCCGCCCGCCCTCCTCCGGCGGACCCTCTCCTCCGATCCGTCTCAGATCCCTCTTGACCGCCTGCAAGGCCAACTCCCTTTTCTCATCCGCCAACCGCTCCTCCGGCGACATGAAGGCCCTGGCCCGATTCCTCTTCGCGGCTGCTTCTCCCTCCGCAGCCTTCAAAGGTGTCCTGACCGGCTCCTCCTCATCACCTGACTCCGGGACCGGTGGCAGTCCTTCCGGCCTCGCTTCACGAAGCCTCACCTCCTCCTGCACCCTCTTGGACCAAAATGGATTCACCTCCGCTCCTGCCTTCGGGCCATCACCGGCCCTCTCCATAGAGCCGGCTCTCCTAGATGCCGAAGGGCTCGACCTCGTGGTACTCCCTGGCTTCGCAGATGCCATAGAGCTCTGCGCTGAAGCGCTCCTTTGCCTAGAGGCCGTAGAGCTCGGTTCCCTCTCCACCAAAGGCTCATCATCCATGCCCGGCCTGAGGGCCCTCGGTGACGTCTCCCTCGTCCTCGATGAGCTCCTCGCCGATCTTGCCGTTGATGCCTCCCTGGTGGATGCACGGCCATCTGCCGAGTGAACCTCCAGGGCGTCATCACCCTCCATCGGCTCACCCATCTCAGGATCTTCTCCCTCGTCCGCCACCAGCTCGCCCCCGGCCAGTGCCCGGCTCTCCTCGACTTCCCCGCCAGGGCTTACCTGGCCGGACCGTCGCCGCCTCATCACCTCCATGTGCGCGAGCGGCTTGGGCTCATAACCTGCAAACCTCCAGGGCGACTTTTCTCCTTCAAAGCATAAAAGGGTCTGCGGGAATCGGTTCATCCGCATGGTCAACATGTGAAGTGCACGTCTCATGCAAAATCAAATCAAATCAACACAATCAATGAATGAATCAAACAATCAAACCAGTCAATTAATGAATCAACCAACCAACCAACCAATGAATCAAGCAATCAAGCAATCAAGCAATCAACTTAAAAACTAAACGATGAATTCAATCGAATAAAGCCAATCTATCTAGTCATCCAAAATAATCAAATCAATCAAGTCCACCAAATCAATTAAACCAATCAAACCAAGCAAAACAATCAAATCAATCAAATCAGTCCAAACAGTAAAGTCAATCAAATCAACCAAATCAGTCAAGTCAGCCAGTCAGTCAGTCAATCCAATCAATCAATCCATCCAGCAATCCATCAACCGGTCAATCCATCAATCCATTCATCAATCCATCAATCAAGCAATCCATCAAGCAATCCATCAATCCAGCAATCCAGCAATCCACCAAAATCCATGCATCCATCCATCCATCTATCAATCAAATCAACTAGATCATCTAGAATGAATGGCTTCGTGAAACAATGTGTATATATATATATATATATGTTGCTTGGAGGCCATCACGGCACAGCTCTGATCTGATGAAGCATCACTCTGCCTACGCTACAAGAAGTCACTGACCGAAGAACAGCACAATGCATTTGTGGAGTGCGAACAACCATTGTTTTCCTTTGCTTTATACAACCCAAGCTATCATCAAGCATGGCCACACTGCGGCAAAACAGCATGTTTATAAATTAATGATCCATATATATATATATGTATAGAGAGAGAGAGAGAACCATTGTGTATGGCAAATCACCAAACATTTCAGCCAAAGCATCCGCACTATCCCATGTCTGCAGAGACCGTCCTGATCGGAGCTGCATGCGTCTCTTCCTCTGCCTGCAATGGTTCGATGTTCCTTTCCGAAACGCCAACATCAAATTGGTCCCCAGCGCAACAATGTAAAAAAGATAGCATGACGGGAGTAGAGAAGGGACCACCGTGAAAGAAAGTCGAACAGCTGCCACCAGCCAGAAGCAGGCCCAATGATTACCAGTAAAATTGCCACTTCCAACTGGTCTGGTCCTGGCCAAACACAAATTGACATCCAGAGATTGACTCAGCTGAGTCCACATGCGTGTGGATTCCCATGCTTGTCACAGGCCAGCAACATGTGCGTCTCAGAGTCGTATGTACTTACATCAAGGTTCCTCATCCACCACGAGCCAACTTGTATGATCATCCAGCCAGTCAAACAAACTTGATTGTCGTTTAGACGCAAAGGTTCAAGGCTGTGCAAAACGTGAACAGACTAAGTGAGAATTCATGACGATTCGATCCGCACGATTCTGGAAAGTGACCCTGGAACAACAATAATTCATTCTACCTTGCGACAGCAATTAGTGAAAGAGTTGCCTTTGCTGAATTCCAACTCCTACAATGTGTAGGCCAAACGATATCTCCGCCCGAACCGCTTTCGCGTGCCTGGCCGAACTCATGCGCAGCGTCACCTGTCGATGCCGACTCCGTCTCCCGGCCATGAACCGCAGCCCTTGCTCGCAGAGAAAGCCGAATAGTTGAAGCCTCTTTCTTGCACGCACCTTGGGTCAAATACCTGAAGAAACAATGAAAACCTCTACACCATCTCTCCGCACCGAGCCGTCTCTCAGATGGGCCATCTGTCCGCACCTCTGAAGGCCAGTGTCACTGCCGGCCTGCTGGGTTGAGAACGCACCGCTGTCAAAGACCAAAGATTTCAGCGCGCCATCCTCCAATTGGCGTCCAGTTTTTGCACCATGCAGCCCAACCATCTTATCCATACTGCCTCTGATTTACAAAGTGTTGGGCCGTGCCATTGAGCATGCACAAGTTGATACCCAAGTTCCAGCTGAGCAGCTCTCAAAACCTCTTGCCAAGGCAGTGTCTTCGGCGCATGGTACAATCCTGCTAAGCCAAACACACAGAGTGTATACCTGCAAACGTGCACATAGCAGCCGTTCACGCGGTGCGCGCCAATCTATTTGCTTACAATGCACGTGCTGCCCAACACAACCAAGCGAAGCGGCCTGGCTAGTAGCGTTCACATAAATAAATATATAGATATATATATATATATAATACATATATATATATATGTATATGTATAATACATATATACATATATATATATATAATATATATATATATAACACACATATATATATATATATATAACATATATATATATATACAATATATAGCCGCACGCCGCCTGATGCACACATCCTGGAAGGGGTCATCAAGCCAGCTCATGCGGGCCGACGGAAGCTCTGTGAGCTGCAATTTGTCCATGGCACGAGTTGGTTGCTCTCGATTGGCTTATGAACCTCTTGGGCTTTGAAGGCTGTCTGGGCTTTCTCTTCTTTGAGCCGCACTCGGATTGAGGCTGGACCCAAACCCACCCAGTACATATACTTGTGCGCTTCTGCACACATGTTTGGTTGACAAACATCTGCCAAAACCCTTGACAAAACACAACACTTGAAGTCGCATGCAGTGTTTTTTAATGTTTGGAGGACCTCTGTCCTCGGCTGCCTGGTGCACGAGTCACAATCAAAACCTCGTTAGTAAAAGGGGTCTACCCTTCCACCGTGTAGCAGATCAAAAGGGCGGCCGCACCTATTTGTTGGAATTATCATGCATTACCTTCATCTGCCCAGGTTTTGATAGTGGCCCACTTAGGTCCAAGTAGTGCACTTTTTGGCAGCAAGCGGCTTCCGAGGAACTCTCATTTTGCGCACGTGGATCTTGTGCTGCTCTGGCAATTCATACAATGGCTTTGTTCATGGACAAACTTGGCAATCGGCTTGGAGTTGTTGCAATGGTTGGTATGCAACGCCAAGCAACTCCGGTAAAACAACGTGGGTAAGAAGTCAAGCAAATGCCGTTGCAAAGTCGAGGTACTATGACTGTGGATGCCAAGGCAATCCTGCCTCACTCCTAGCTACCGAGCACAAGACAAATCTCACTGCAGCTCCAGTTGTCAGAAGCGATCGGCGGCCCTGTTCTCTCATTTCATGGCGAAGCGCTGTGCTCGACGCTTCCGGCGTTCGTCTTCCTGGCCACGACTGCAGTCTCTGTGCAATCAACACCAAGCTTCCTGGAACCATGCATCCAATGTTTTCTAGTTGTTTTTGTTTATTTCTTCTTCTCCCGAGGTATATATATATATATCTATGTGTATACTTATTTATATTGTTATACAGAATATAAGGGGTACGCAAGGTTCAACATATTTTGCGGCACGCATTTCAGCGGCACGCATTCATGCCCCTTGATTTCTGTTGCTCTCTGTCCCTGGGATGAGCTTTGTTTCTTTTTGGCATGGCACATGGCGCACCAGAACAAGCCTCACAGAAGCGGCGCCAAGCCGACTGTTGAAAGGCGAAGAACTGTCACAAGTACAAAGCCGCCCTGGGCTCCCAGTTACCTTCTTGCCAGTGGCAAGGGCTCCCACAACGGGGGCGACGTATTGACCGACGTGCCCCAAAAGTGAGCTTGCTTCAAACGAGCTAAAGGGGCTTCCAGAACTTCCAAAAGCACTCTCGAAAGGGGGCGGTCCCCAATTTTCACAGGCACCAGCCATGTCGTGCTTTGCCGGTCTCAGTTGCTCCTCAGGATCTGGGGGCTCCTCCCGATTCTCGCGCTTGCGAGTGGGCGGCTGGGCGGCCCGTGGCCTCCGACGGAGTCACGTCTGGTTGACACCTGTTGGAGTACCGAAGTAAAAATGAAACTTCATCAAAGGAAATTTAGAAGGAACTTCCGTGCTACGGACACCAATTGACAGAAAAGGTAGTCCTGGGCGCAAATGATATACAGTAAAGAAAGAATGAATGCGTGCGGATAAAACATGGTTGACTGAAAGTTCACTTTGCCTTGTCTCATGGATAACTTGATGATAAGTTTGCTTTGTATAGTTGGCCTGATGTCAACTTTGCCTCGTCTCACGGTTGACTGGATGTTCACTTTGCCTTGTCTCATCGCTAACTTGATGATAACTTTGCCTTGTCTCATACTTGGCCTGATGTCAACTTTGCCTCGTCTCACGGTTGACTGGATATGCACTTTGCCTTGTCTCATGGTTGACTTGATGTTTAGCGTTGCCTTTTCTCATAGTTGGCGTGATGTCAACTTTGCCTTGTCTCGTGGTTGACTTGATGTGAACTTTGCCTCGGCTCATAGTGGACTTGATTTTTGTTGCTCCTTGTGCTCTTGCTTTGGGGAATCAGGTCGGAAACCAATTGCAAGGCCTCCCTTGGACCATGGCTCACCGCATTCAGGCGGAAATTCAGCAGCCAAACCGGCGAGGCCCCCGCCTGCGGCCCGAGTCTGGCGGAGCGCTACGGCCATTCTTGGCGGCCTGGGCTGGCCCAAAATCGGACAGGTTTCGCAAGTCCATGCCCCTTCAGAGGTTTGAAAGCGGCTGAGGCGAATTGGTGGCGGACACCTGGAAATTCAACGGGACATGGAGTCGCGACGTGGAGACGTGCTGGTGCTACGTATGGCAATTTGGCATCCATAGGTTTCCAGAGCAGTCCCCAGAGCTATCCCTGTTTCAGAATGGAATGTATACCTTTAAGAGGAGAACAACAACAGCATACAAAATGTCAATGTGGCAATCGGCTCATCTTGCCTGCCCGTCAGCCCGGCTTTCTGCCGAACCAGCGCCCCTCCCAACGCGTTGAATCATCTCGGCGTGCCTTCCGTGCCAGGAATGCCTGCAGGGCATCCAAACAAAGAAGCGTCAGCTTTTTTGGCCTGGAACTGGGGACAGCCAACTCGTGTTCAAGAAATCTCACAGGCTGTTGAAAAAAACAGGTGTCAAACGGTACTTCATCAAGACGCTGCCATCCATCGCTGACTTCGTTGGAGCAACTGGGTGCTCTTCGAGTGTTCGCAACGGCGGCAGCGACTGACGGCTTGTTGGCAACAGTGACCGACGGCGACCGGCTGAGCCGACTGCCTCCAAATCCTTCTTCGCCTCCAGTTCCACTGGCCGCTCCTTCGCTGCCGCTTTTTCTGGCGAAGGCTCTTTCGGCCGCGCCGGGAGGCCCCACCTCGCGAAGAAATGGAATTCGGGCCCACGGAAACTTCAGACTCTGCCCGAAAAAGCCGGGTGCCAGGATACCGGGTTAAGCAAGGCCAAAACACATCAAAGAACCATATGTTTCATGAGCGGTGCCCAAAAACTGTTGACATCTGTTGACTTGAAATTCTACTGGCGAAACCTTGCGTGAAACCTTCTGCAGGCCCAGGAACTCTCTCTCGCGCTTGAAGCTCATTTTGGATCCTCCATCGCAACTGGTCAGTCCCACAGTATCCCCAAACTAGATATTCCAGCTTCATTTTAGGTCAATCGAGGCGGCATAACTTATTCTCAAGCGAGCTTTTAAAAAAAAAGCATGGCCAACGCAAGTGCAGGCAGCGGGTTTACGCACTATTATTCAAATGCGAGTGTCAATGTGTGTCATGTGAGTGTCGCGCGGAGGCGAATCGAGGGCACTTAGGTCACGAAGAGGCCACTTCCTGCAGTGTTGACAAGCTCGTTTGAGCGTCATTCGAGTGTTGCCGATTGCTAGTCGTCAACTGTGCCCAGTTTACATAGATTGGGCTCAAATGTACACTCCTCAAGGTAGCCAGGAACCGTTTGTTTCCAACTGGCCATTATAATCTCGCCTAAGTGACCTGTTGAAATTCAGCAAAGTGACCTCTTGCCCGAGAAGTGAGTCAAGACCATAAAAAGAAAAAGAGGTCAACTAGAGAAACCGCGGAGCCTACGTGACGACGGTAGTTCTACCAACAAACCTCGCGCGAGCTTACGCGACCCACAGGATTTCTTCCGCGGAAGTATGCTACAAGAATCGGCTCTCAAATCTTCACTTGAGGGGTTTTTCGCGCGCTGCTCAATCGGGGGCACAGCTATCGTTCAAATCAAGCGGAACATCCCTTCCGCGACCTTCCGCGAATCTTGAAACAGAAGTTGCTGCTGGTTCTCCCTCGTGACCTGCGTGCTTTTCAGAAATCGAAGAGGGACCAACGCTTGGGCTGGCAATGCTTTGGCGGGTGCAAGAATGGTTTGCATGGGCATTCCTCAGGAAGTGGACAGTCATGAATGGAGAATCAAACATGAGCCTTTCATGAGCAACCGTGCCTAACAAGAGGGCATTGATACCACTTCCAGCCCAACAGCGACACACTGTGGAGCCCGCGGTCCTGAAAACAACATGCAAGCAACGCTCGGAACTGCAAGGATGCGCAGCGACGCTTAGAGATTCTTTGCCAGCCACGGATCTTCCTTGCTCACATGTAGCCTTGCTACTTCTGCTCATTGTCTCATCTTTTTGTTCAAGCCCATGTCAGTGGCTCTCCTCAAAGGCACTCTAAACATTTCATGCTGCTTGCTGTCTTTGGCATGTGCCCATGTAAATCTATCTGCGCAGGAATGCGATGTTCGGCGTTGTGAAACAATTCACCAACATACCAAGAATTTGTGCGCCGTGTCAAAATAGCATTCCATCTTGAAGCTGCTACGGAAGACATGTTGCATGTGAAGGACATAGGGTCTAGTTGTCTGAATCGGAGCTGTTTGCGGCAATGACAATAGTTACATCTACACATCAAGGGTGGCGCAGTTTCAGTGCTGGCAGGGTTGGGCCAACGACTTGGCACATCTTTTCATCTACCCTCTTACCGATTAACATGAAACGCCCTGAAAGGCCATTTGCCTTTTCAAGGGAACCCGTGTCAAGTTCCATGTTAATTGTTGGGAGAGTATATGAAAAGGGGCCGAAAGGTTGCAATTGCCGACTCGCTCGCCTCTTGGCTCGTGCAGCTAACTTCTCTTCATTCGGCTCTGTCGGCTCGTCGACAGCGGTTGAGGTCAAACCCCACCGCTTGGCGCGAGCCGCAAGCTTTTGCTCCTCGGTCACCTGGCCATTCAGCGCGGTGGTCCGGACCCAGAAGAGCTGCAAAGGGGAAAACCTTTCCGAAGGAGCGGGTTTCCAAAACGCAGCAAAGTCCGCAGAGGGTTCACTTGTTCAAAGACGCAGGGTTGGTTTAGGGTGGTTTGGAGTTGGTTTAGGGCTGGTGTAGAGCCGGTTTGGGGTTGGTTAGGTTGGTGTAGGACTACTTTGGGGTTGGTAAGGTTGGTGGGTTTAGGGTTGGTGCAAGGTTGGTTCAAGGTGGTTTAGGGTTGGTTTAGGGTTGGTGTAGGGTTGGTTTAGGGCTGATTTAGGTTGGTTCAGGGTTGGTTTAGGGTGGTTTAGGGTTGGTTGGTGTATGGTTGGTTCAGAGCTGGTTTACAGTGGTTTAGGGTTGGTTCAGGGTGGTTTAGGGTTTGTTTAGGGCTGGTTTAGGGTTGGTTTAGGGCTGGTTTGGAGACAGACCGGCCGAGCCAAAACCCCAGCACCACGCAGCAAAACGGCCGCGCCAAACCTAGGAGACAAAAAACTCGGGGCCCGCCATGCGTGTCGCACAAACAAATTGCGTGTCTTGAAGGCTACTCTCACCGGTGTATGATTGACAGTCATTGCGACAATAATACGCATACACCATGTCCAATTCCAAGTCAATCACGCGTGGGTGCATATATGTCTGGAGGTAGGTATGTATGTGGGTTGGTATTCAAGTAGGTGGGTGGGTATGTGGGCAGACAAATACGTAGGCATGCACATTGCATGCCTGGTTTGCATGCACATAGATATATAGTTGCACGTGTAGCAAACATAAGGTGGAGATTCGCGCAAGTGGCAAGGTCCATATCTCAAGGCCTAATCTTCTGCTGGCCAACACCGCAAGCAAAGGTCCCAAGCATCTGCCAATCCAGAAGCTTTGAGACTCCGAGTCAATACCCACACACACACACACACTCAAGCGCATGTATTTCACCGCCTCCTCGCCAGTGTCCGGCATGCCACTAGGTGAGCGATTCAAAATCGCAAGCTGGGCTCTTGCACCCCTCCATGCAACATGTGAGCAGGATTGCAATCGTTGTATCTGTGTGCCATCTGGCTATGTCACATGATGTACACGAGCTAGCCAAAGCTGTTTCGCAACTAAGCCCAAGCTGTTTCAAACTGCAGCGGGCGAGCCGGCATTTCTGGGCATCAGCAACAGTTCATGCTGAGGAACCCCCCGTGGTCAAACAGATCAACCCACGTTCAGCTGGCATGCCTTGGCGAACGAGATCAAACAAGTTTGTTTCCTGCATTTTTCTATATGATTTGGCATTGTGCCATCCTGCCTGCAGTTTCCCTTGTGGGTGTAGTCTAGCCCTTGCACCAAGAGGTTTCGGGCACCCACGGCGAATTGCTCATCTGCTCATTCGACATGACAATCAATTATTCATCTTATTCTTATGAAATCTTCATAACATTTACGCAGCTCGTGCCTTTCCATTCAACCCTTCACGTGATATTCAGACGGATCGTCTGAATCCGGGCATGATCCTAAGCCGTTGGGCGCGGGCACAGCGGACATTTGATCCGCAAGCGATTGCAACGTCTGCATCTCCCTGTGCAGCGGCCAGGTCAGCTGGCCGTCGCCCTGACGAACAGGCTGGGTCGGATGGACACAAACTCGAATCAACCTTTGGACAGGTGTAAAGGTCCCACCAGTGACCGTTGGGGCCATCGACCCATCCAGGCCCAAAAGTTGCTTGCAATAGGCTGCCTTGAAGATCTGGCTGCGAGGGGTCGGCGCCGTATGCAAGAAGCAGATTCACCTGGGCAGAAGAGAACGATCCGGGCAAGTCACACAACCTTCGAAACTTCATAGAGCCGCCCTGCTCGTTGCAAGCGTGTAAGCTGTGCCACATTGATTTTCATTCAGGGCCAAGCTTTGACTGTTGCACTTTGATTCATGCTTGGAGCCGCGACCAAACTGCGACGTGCATCCCCCGACCGTTTGTCCAACATTGCTGTCTGATAACATCTCACGCATTTTCTTGATCATTGTCAGGATTCCCTGATAAGAATGTTTTTGCCAAAGCATAACTGGCTTGACTGAACTGTGACAGTGTGCTTGGCTGAGCACAATACGCCCTGCACGCTGCCTCACAGGTAATGCTTACATACTCGCAATGCAAGATTGTCACACTCTCTTGAAAGCCATTGCGACTCCACCAGTCACGATTCAATACACCCTGCGCGTGTGTCCACCCCTGGGCCAAAGGGCTAGATCGTCCATCAGCAGCGCTGCGGCTGCATGCAGCGGCGTGTGCAACTTGGAGTCTCGGGCGTTCACGGCTGCTCCAGCTTGAAGGAGCACCTCCTTAGCGTTGGGGGTAGGGGGAACAAGTCGGCCCAAGTACCTCCCTTGAGGTACGCTTGATAGACATGCAAATCAACAAACAAACCGACAAACAAGTAAACAAGCTACCCAACGATACAAATAGCTTCCTAGCCCCGGCCCCTTGCCCGGGACTGTGGCCGCAGCTTTGGGTGCAAGCCAGACGGCTGGCCGCCTGGCCCTTGCAAAGTCTTCGAGTCCCGGCACCCATGCCTTTGGTGCCAAGCGGATCCTTTACGCAGTTGATACTTTACGCATGGCCCAGCATGAACGTCGTCTCTTGCCACGCCTGCCTGGCCCTGGTGAGAACGGAGACCAAAGGAAGCCTCTAAATAGCCCCTGGCAGAGGCGGGCAGCACGAAATCTTAACCATAAGCAAGCAAGCAAAGACTTGAAAGAAGAAAGAAATAAAGAAAGAAAGAAAGAAAGAAAGAAAGAAAGAAAGAAAGAAAGAAAGAAAGAAATAATGAAAGAATGAAAGAAAGAAATCAATAAATAATTAAATAAATAAATAAATAAATAAAGAAAGAAAGAAAGAAAGACATAACAACATATAGAAACAAAGAAAAAACAAAGAAAGACAGTACTTTGTTTAAATAAATCATCATACAAAACAAATACAAAACAAGAAGAAATAATAACAAACTGAGAAACTAAACAAGAAAGACCGAACGACAGAAAGACAGAACACAAGAACGACATAAAGAAAGAAAGAAATACATAAAGAAGAAAGGAAGAAATAAACAAAGCAAGACATCGGCAAACAAACACAGCTAGAGGGCTAGATATGTCCTGCGTCCGCAAATAGTGGGACCCACCCCAACACCAAGTTTCTGCCGTGTGACAAATAATTGCTCACAGTTGTGTACCTCGATAAGCTTCTAAACCACAAGCATGCTTCAATTTGTCACAATCACCTAGGACCTAGGTTGCAGCAGTACGTAGCTTGAAAACCATGATTCCGACATCTCAGCACCAGTTGCAAGGCCAGCTGGAGAGAACTGGACAATCTGCATCTATGTCCTAAAAACACCTGGCAACAGGGAGACCTGGGCCCCCATTTACCGCTGCAACCCTGCCTCGCAGACCTCATAGCAACCTGCAACTGCTATGCCAAGATTCGGCAACCTGCAAGTGTCCACCCCAAGCTGCATCATGCAGTGCAGTGCTGCCTGCCCCATCGCGGGTGTGGATGCTCCTGCCCGTCTCTTGCAGCAGCGCAAGCACCAGACGCTCATGTCCATTGGCAGCTGCCCAGTGAAGTGGCAACGCACCTTCAGAATCCACAGCTTCTACGTCCTGATGACCTCTCAGAAGTCGCACAACTTCCACATGCCCAGCAGCTGCTGCCGCGTGATGAGGACTCCCAGCCCTGTCCGCCGCAGGCATTGCATCCACCGCCGCTGCTCGTGACAGGAACTCCGCAAACCGCTGACGCGACCAAAAGGAACCGCTGCGCATCACAGGCTTTGAGATGTTGAGCACGTCGGGTCTTTCCTTCAGCATTCTTGGTCAAGCTCACATTTAACTTGTGAACTTTGCTTGTGCAGCCGCACAACTTGAACTAGATTCTACAGCAACTTCATTGAACAGCTACTGTGGCCTTCGACGCAAAGCAAATAAACACCATATGTGTTTTGTTCACCTTTAGGAGGAACCGAGCTCCTAAGAAGCGAAAGAATGCAACACCTGAGGATTCGGTATGCATTCAAGTTGTTGGTGGACAATCCTTCAGATAGGGGCTTATGTACACCAACCAGTGTTGAGGGTGTGTCCTATTGGCAAAGTCATGGCTGCCGTTGTGTTGGGTCTTTCTCGTGTATCCCTTTTGGCGCTGCTCAAGGGATTTCCGCTTCAAAGTTGATCAACTTACTGGTGGTTTCCCTTGAACTGCCACGTTTTGAAGGTTCCAAAAGGGAATTGGCTCAGAAACTTGACCAACGAAAGCCTAAATGGCAAGCAAAGCCTCCGAGGTCCATCCCGTGCAGAGCAGCTCCACCACTGCCCCATGCCCGCTTTTGGCCGCCCAATGCAAAGGGCTCGCACCTTTGGCGTCTGCCAACATCGCGGCGTCGGACGCCAGCCTTGCCAATTGGTCTCAAGGGATCCCATTAGAGGCAAAGCCAAGGAGGACACACGTTGTGGGTCTGGCTGCCAAACATAGTGCAACCCAGGCACACCATAGTATCTGTCTAAACACGACATCCAACCAATACTAACAAAAACTAGCATCGCAGTTCGTCTTGCAGCGAGGCGCAGCAGCTGCACAATGTCTGTCTGATTCTTGCTGGCTGCCCAGTGCAGCGCGCTTGCTCCCTCCTCAAGTTTGCATGCTGCATCGCGTACTTGGTCCACCAGTGCTTTGAAGTCTCACAAGCTCATGTGTGGGGTTGAATGGCATCTTGAATGCTCAAACAGACTTGTCATCCAGCCATCAAGCCTTGCCCCAAAAAGGAAAAGCAAGGTACATGAGTCAGAAGGAACAACCACAAGCAACCGCAACAAGGACACCCTATAAGAAAAGGAAGGTACATGAATCAGATCAGAAGGAAGGTACGTGAGTCAGATCAGAAGGAACCACAACCAACAACCGCAAGGACTTTTGCCAATCATCGCCATACGAACCAAATCGTTCCTCGTCTCGCAGGTCAGGATCTGCCCGGGTCAGAAGCTCCTTGGCTGCCTGGAGGTGGCCCTTGGCTGCCGCCTGGCCATCCGGCGCGAGCGGTTAAAGGTCCGGTCCGGTCGTTGACAGGTGAGGCGTTTTCAAGCCAAGAGCGTTTTTTTTGTTCAGGCAAAGAGGATTTCTGACAAGGAACCAACAAACATCAAACACATCCCCCGACTTATGGTTCCTACAAATGTCCCCGACATGGCACAAACACCCAGAACATGCAAGCAAAGGGATGTGTCTGGCCAAGAGTGTGGACGACTTTGCCATACCTACAAAGCTTACGATCCCGACAGCAAATACTAGCAGATTCCCTGATTGTCAATTCTGAGAGAACACGGTCTGAAAGGCCAAGAACTGGGAATCTTCGCTGTAGTTTCCAGGCGGTTGGGAACTTGGGCGATTCCCACTCGTTTGCAAGGTCCCCAGGTGATATAAGCATATACATGTGTATTTACATATATACATATGTGTATATATATATATATTAATACATATACAGAGAGAGAGAGAGAGACACCCCGAGTTCGAGGAAATCTCTCACGTGGCTCACTACGGTTACCAGCCGCTTACGTAGGCCGAACATCCAAAACGGGCAGTTTGGGTCTGGCCTCGTGCAAGGCACATGCCTCATGCTCGTCCCGAAGGTTCAGCGAGGCCCCGGCATGTAGGAGGCGTCGCAGAACCTCCGACTTCAGCGGTCAATTTTGGGTGCTTCATAATCATTGTGGGTGCTTCATAATTTAGGAGGCATCACGTAACCTGGTATTCAACAATATAGAGAATCAAAGGGGGGCGTTTGATTACACTTTGGGAACTAATAAGACTTGATCATGGATCATCCAGGAGGGTCTCAATCAAAAACTGGGGACTGGACGAGTTGTGTGAGTCTGTCATTTCTGAAATTGCTAGGCAAGCATGGCAAGTGCTTGCATGCAAAACATGCTTTATTCACGAACGACTCCCTCAGAACTCACCACACCCTCAATTGATCTCATAAGCCAGCTTTTATTTGAAGTGTACGTGTATTGGACTCCCCCGTCTCCATCAACTTGCAATGTCAGGCAAAGCTACTTGAGAAAACACCTGGACCAGTTCTGACCCTTTTGCACTTGCTTCCGGTTCAGGGACTCGGCACCTGCAATTAATTTGTTCAATCCTGTGCATTTGTTTGCTATTGCTTGCATCTGTTTGCTATGCACCATTTTCCTCTCATGTGGTGGTTTGCAGCCATACATTAGTCAGGGGGTCCTCCAGTACTAGTGCTGTCAGGGGCCAGCATGCCGAGAGCATGAAACACATATTCTAGGGGGCGTCTGCCGAGCGCACTCTCTGCACTTCATTTTGGCTTGAGGAGTCTTGGGGGGGGGGTCCCTGAAAACCCGCCCACCGACAAAGCCTTTTGGAAAAATAGATGGCCCTGGTAAATGGAATAAACCCCATCTAAACCAGGGCCCTCAATTTTCTATGCAAACCAACCAAAAAGGACACCTATGGTCAATTCGTTAACTCAACTCCCCAATCACCCTTCCAAGAAGACGCTGTCAGGGCTGACGGTCCGAGTCACGAGAGCTTTCGAGAACTTGCGACTGATCCTCTAACATGAGCCGCTTGATTCTCAGCGGTCGCTCTGATTCATTCTGCTGGATGGGTTCCGCCAGGCAATGACTAACTTGTGGTTTATTCTGCGCCTTTTGCAAAACAGCAACAACTGAGCAACCATCGAGCCATGGACGGCCTCCTTTGCTTAAATTGCACAACTTCGAGGGCCCTTGGCCATGGCCACTGAGTTCAAGCGTAAATAGGGGTCCGGGCCCAAGCTCATAGGCTGTCTCAAAAAGCTGTGTCAGCTCCAAAAAGCAGTGGCTTGACTACCGGACTCAGAAGCAGCAAAATTCAGAACTTCTCAAAGACGGCAAGAAGCACCGCTCTATCCCTACCTTAAGTGGGAGAAAGGTGGGAGTCCCTCAATTTCATTTATTTGCTCTTCCCCCCAACAAAAATGGCGCCATAAAAGGAGATCTCCATCGAAATCCCTCCCCCCATTCCATTTTGAAGGGGTCACCTACCCCTCCCTCTCCCCCTCTACCGCCGCCCCAGAACCTCACTCGAACGACTCGTTCCTTTGGCGTCCCTTTGGCGCGTCTCTCTTTCTCGAGGCCTCCGCGTGGCCTGCGCCCGCAGCTTGGTGCAAGGGACTCCGGCAGTCCACCTGACCGCTTTGGGACCCCGAGAGATCCCGCTGGGGCTCCAAAGCGGAAGATGCCTCGGGTTTGGGATTGAATCATGTGGACCCCGGAGTAAGAAACCCCTGTGGATTAATTTGGGGGTGTCCCCGGTTTTAGTGGGGATGTATCACTTTTGGAGGGGAACACCCTCATATTAATAAACAGGGGTTTATTAATCCGGGGTCAACATTAGAGGGATTCATAACATTTACATGGAGTTGTTCTTGACGATGGGATTGATTTTCAGAGGAACTTGCTTTTGTTGGGGTTTAGATCTAAAGCGTGTATCTGAAAAACTAGCGGCCCCCAAAACGATTGGTTCCCGGAAGGCTTCCCTGAAACAGGCGGTTCAACCAAAAATACGACACCATCGAATTGAACAAGTCTCAGTACGGACAAGCCACATGCGCGCCACACATGTGTCTTCCAAAAGGCAGTCATCGGCTGATATTGCCTCATCGCATTGTTCGCAAGAGCAGACTCCTCAGCATGTTCTGCACAACTTATCGGCTTGCCGGCCCTCTTTGCTCACGCGCCTGCATCTAAGGCTTTCGAACTCCACACGTCCTTGTCCTCGTGCCCAAAGCAATCGTGACGATTGAAACACAGTAAGAATCGCGACTCGCGGCGTGTACCTCAAAATCGGACGCTAATGTTGACCCAGGATTAATAAACCCGTCCCAATATCACGGGGGTGTTCCCGCCAAAAGTGATGAGTCCCCACCAAAAGGGGACAGCCCCCTATTAATCAACCAGGGGTTTATTAATCCGGGGTCAACATTAATCAAAAGGAACACATATCTTTGTGGCGTGGGGGCTATGGGTCAGTGATCTCCTTGCTGTCGGCAACTGCACTGCCTGAATGCTCAAGTCCTTAGATTGAGCATGGAGGCCTGACGAGCCTTGAGTGGGTGCGACGTTTAGAGAACCCACAAAACGGATGTTCCTTTTCGGTGTCAAACAGGGGGTACCTGTTACAAAGACACACCCAAATCCAGGACCAGCATGGCGCCGGGATGGGCGCCTTCGCATTCGGATCCACCCGTCTGGCCAGGAGGTGCTCTACGCAGTCCACCTGCGTGCGACCGCGCCCCGTCGGTTTGGGGCGAGCCAGCAATTCGCCCACGTGCTTCATGTCTGAAGGATGCATAAGGATCCTGCAAGGATCATAAGGTTCATTTTTGAGCCGGAAAAAACACAACAACACCTTGGCATCCTTGGAATCCATGGGATCATCCTTCAGACACGTGGGTCTGTCTCAAAAGGTATGATTTGCACAGGTCGAACTTAAATCCTGCACTAAACCTTGAGCACCTTAACCGTTTTTGCTTTTTCGTCGCCTTGTTTTGCCTGTTCCCCTGTCCGCCTCCCCAGCCGCCGCTGCGGCTCCCAGGGCTGCAGCCGTGGCCGGCAGCAGTCGCAACCCCGGGAGGTGGCCCCGGCGGGCCGCGGCCGCTGCAGCACCCTTGGCGCCCACTCCTGCGGTGGGTGGGTGCGGTGCGGTGCGGTGCGGTGCGGTGCGGGGTCGGGGTGGGGGTGGGGGTGGGGGTGGGGGTGGGGGTGGGGGTGGGGGTGGGGGTGGGGGTGGGGGTGGGGGTGGGGGTGGGGGTGGGGGTGGGGTGGGGTGGGGTGGGGTGGGGTGGGGTGGGGTGGGGTGGGGTGGGGTGGGGTGGGGTGGGGTGGGGTGGGGTGGGGTGGGTGGGGTGGGGTGGGGTGGGGTGGGGTGGGGGTCGGGTGGGTGGAAACAAAGCATGGAAGCAACTCCTACATCACTTGACAACCATTCTGGTGTAATTCAAAATTCAAGAATGAAGAAGGTTTTAGATCTTGGTGTCCATGTACCAAGGTGCCATAATATCCGGTGCCATATTTGACCCATGACCACCATTGCCAGGCTCATGTCTACGAGCAGACCTCTCAAAGGCCCCGCGCCCGGAAAGGTCTTATTGCATCTGGTCGTCGCATTCGCCTCAGGTCGCCTGAAACGGGGCTTTGCACAACTTATTGAGCAGAGTCGCAAGTCAAGTCCAGACGCAATAAAAATTACAACTCATACGTGCAAAAAACCCCATGCCCAAAAGCCCTGACCGAAGCGCTTGCAGGTTCAACCACCAAACCGCTTCAACCCCGTGAGACATGCTTCAGGCAGTCCTGTCTGCAGCATTCCCTTCTCGTCCTTGGGCGTTTCAGATTCTTTGTGAGCTAGCAAGAGCTCCATCACTTTGATGTGGCCTGGCAGCCAACGACTCAGCCGAGCTTTGTATGCTAGGCAAAAAAAAGGAAAGCACTGGTCGAATATATGAACAAAGTGCAAGTGATGTGCCGTGAGAGTGGGCTGCTGGAAGAGAGCACTGGCAAAGGGTGCTGGTGATGCTGTTTGAGGTGCTTTTGCTTTCGCGGCTGGCTTACTGGTGAAAGTGCGAAGCGGGTAATTGATGGGCTGCGTGCTGGCAGCCGTCATAGTCATGGGTGTTGGCGAACAAGTCTTTCCTGAGGTACCGGTGGGTGATTTGCCAGTGCGGCGCAGAGTGTGCTGTAGATGTCATGGCTGATTTCTTAGATCTGGGGGGCGGGGGGGGGGGGGGGTGTTGCTGAATTTGCTGGCAAACACCATTTTGCTACCTTTGGACATATGGGGTTTATACTGTTGTGTGCTGTACAGAAACATGAAAACACACAATCCGTGGAGTATACCTGCTTGACAACTTAATAGTGGCAACTTACAGTGAATTCCCGAACAATAGCAAGCCAAGCCACCATACATATCATGCGCTTTGATAAAACATGTGAACATCTGCTTGTGCCGCTCAGAGAGTCAACCAGCAGTAACCGTACTGTTTCGCAACGGAATCCGGCGATAGCAAGCCAAGCCGCCTGTACGCCTCCAAACATTCGGCGAGTACCAACTCTTGAGCCCTACACAAACCAGTCCGCCACAAACATTGCCGTCAAGTCCCTCTGCATTGGATGAAGTGATGCTATTCGCCTAAACCTCACAAGACTGGACCCAGACGAATCCAGTTTCTTTCGCCTCTGTCAGCAGCCAGGCCGAGGGGCGACCAGCCCTCATAGGACACCTCAGCCTGGGCCCTGCGCGCCAAGAGGTCCTGGACCAAACCTGGCGAGCGTTCGAAGCCATGGGTGTCTCAGGCTATCTTGCCATCTGGCACAGGGAAACACATCTCCAAAGTTCCGAAATCCTGAGCTCCCAAGACCAGGCGTCAAGAACTATCATTGGTGAGGTCGCAAAGCAATCCTTTTCGGAGACCCCGGAACAGATCAAGGCGTCTCTTCATTTGAGGTGACGTCCTATTTTGGGGGCGTTTTAACCGAACATCCGACATTGCATTTCTGCACCTCCCCACCCCCATGAACGGCGGGTGCTGGAAGTTCATTTGGAGACGACTTCCGCCCAAATCTCAATGCCTCGATGCCCTGCTTCCGCAGCGAGATGCAGCGCACTCAGTCCTCTGCATGGCATAGCCTCCCATCAAATAACGTGGAACCCAGGGGGTCCTGGAAGACCATGTTCCTTTTAAAGGGACCCCGGAAAGTCAGGTTCCAGTCTAATTGGATCCTCAAACAGTTTTCCCAGGATCTCCAGAAACAATCTGGGCTCAAGGTTGGCTCATCTCTACCGAGAGCAACGCAAGCCCGGCGATGGGCCTACCTAGAATTGTTGCCAGGATTTGCCAGATGCAGTTCTGGTAAACATTGCACTCACACAACCCATGGCGTAGCATCGGTGCGCCCGTGGACTCGTCAGCTACAACAGCCTGAAAGTTAACACTGAGACAGTATATTCCTCGTTTCTCTGGATGAGAGATGAAAAGGCAATACTTCATTCGCAACTAGTAGCAGCTGGCCGCAGCTACGATCCATTTGATATTGTTTGATCACTAGCAAACAAGTTTACGTGCACCTCTTTCAATATGCTGCAATATCCATGGAATCTTTCTCTTGGACCTGACCTTGCAGGAGCAAACGGCCCCGGCAGAAGGATGGGACCCCCCAAAAGGACCCCCTCGAACTTCAATTGGGTGCTTTCTGCGAGGCTTTGCAAGCTCTGGCAGGCTGATAAAGCAGCCCGAAAATGACATTCAACAGCTCTTCTGACGGCTCGAGACCTCTGTCGGCTTTTGCACCTGTCCTAGGCAATCCACAGCGTTGATGTCCGCCGACTCCGCCTCGATCGTTCATTGGACTTGAGGGCAATCTGTCATGCAGTATCCTGCAACTGTGGTGAGTGGACGGAGCAAATAAGATACTAGCAAGTCACAATCAAAACCCGGTAGTAAAATGGTCTATCCAGAACCATGCAAAGACTTAAGAAGACGGCCGCAACTATTTCTGGCTGGGACTGCGCCTAACCTTCACCTACCCGGTTTTGATTGTTTGATTGTGGCTGTGATACAGGGCGGCTCAAAGAACCGAGCTCACATTTGGCCATGGGTTGCATAAGGCGATCCCATTTTGGGCTGGACATCCATTTGCCACCTATTTTGATGTTCACCAGGGGTACCTGGTTTTGACCCACAGCCATTTGACAGATGCAAAGACCTTTATGCAAGCAACAAGGGCGTACGGGACTTGTTCTTGAGCGAAAGTGCCTGCAAATCTCCTTCCACTGCAGCTCGATGCCATTTGTCCCGAAGCCAGCGCGCACGCAAGTTGAAGGCGATCCTTGCTGCGTGCCGATCATACATTGGTCAATGGACACACTCTTCAAAGTTGGGAATACTTGATTTACTCACCAGCTACCGAACCAGGCGTCACAACACCTCAAACAACGTAGAAGGAGAGCCGCACCGTCCGAGATCAAGCACACAGTGCAACATATGGGTGTGGCTCAAAATTAAACAGCAGTAGTTACGCAGGTTTTGGTCCATGTTTCCACTTACCTGGGTTCCATTTTGGTACCGTTGTTGTTGAGCCACAGCCATATGCAATCTATGGATGTCACTATGTAATGATTCGCTGCGTCAATGCAGCTCTCAGCCATCGACTCAGCCAAACCCCGCATTGAAATCCTGCGATGGCACAGCTGCCATCTAATTTCTGCTCGAGCTCGAGATGCGCTCTCCAGCTCCGTCAGGTAGAGCATCGACTTCATGCTCCTGGATGTTGCTATTGTTTCACAGACCAAGGCCTACTTCTGCCGCAAGCGAAACAAATGCGCATATCAAGACCAGCAATCCATGACACAACAGAACTCAAGGCACCGATTGCACCAATGTAGTCCATGTGCTGCCAAAGGTCCACGTAAGGTGGGAACAGCACCAGCATGCCGGGCTCGGGCTCTACCTCCGTCACCTGGCAGAGCAACACCGAAAAGGCTGTGCTTTGAGTTAGCCATGTGCTTATATCTGATCTTTTCTTAGGACAGCCGTTGCAGAGTCAACAGGCTTGACGTGAAACACAACCCAGGTTTTTTGGGCAACCAAACCGCGTTTGGGCTAAACATCTCTCAATGCTGGTGATTCTCGAAATTCGAGCTTGCAGCAATGAGTACTGGCAAACATGCAGGGCCATAAAAACCCCCACCTGGTCGTCTACAAAGAAGCAGCGGCAACAAAACACAGCTGTGCCAAGCGTTTCGTACTCAAAGGCAAGTATTTTGGTTGAGCAATCTTACAATGTACGCAAATATTGCTAGTCAATCAGCCAGTCAGCCAACCAATGAAAGCGAAACAACATATTACATATACAAGTCAACATCAAATCAAAAAAGCGGAACGATTTCAAAAGCAGTCAATCAACCAAGCGATGAACCAATCACTAACACAATCATTCTACCGTCCGATCGATCAGTCAATCAAATGCACAACCAACAAACCCACCAACTAGCCAGACAGCCAGACGCCAGACAGCCAGACAGCCAGGCCAAACCAAAGCCAACCAACAAGCAACCAATCAACCAACCAACCAGTCAATCAAATCAACCAAGCAACCGCACAAACATGCAAGCCCGCAAAGGCGCAACCACGCAAACAAACCTACAATCAAACAACAAACATGAAACGAAAGGGCAGGTGCGCACACAGGCATAAATTCACAAACACGCACACACTAGCACAACTACACAAAGACACAACCACTACAACCTTGATCACAAAACACACACACAAACAAACAAACAGACAGACAGACAGACAGACAGACGGACAGACAGACAGACGGACAGACAGACAGACAGACAGACAGACAAACAAACAAACAAAAAGACAAACAAACAAACAAACAAACAAACAAACAAACAAACAAACAAACAAACAACAACCACACAAATCCTAAATCACAAACACAAACAAACAAATACGCACGCTACGCAGACACAGAGACACAACCACACAGACACACATATGCACAAACACAGAGGCACAAAGACATACAAGTACAGAGACAAATAGACAAACACACACAGAGAGACAAACGGGGAACCCTTTTTTCTCACCTCCCTGTTTTTTCAACCCTTCACCCTTTCTATTTAACCCTCCCCCGTCTTTTTTAACCTTCCCCCCTTCTTTTTTCACCCTCCCCCCTTTCTTTCTGACCCTCCACCTCTTCCTTTTAACCCTCCATTTCTTTTTTGCCAACTCTGTGGCCGAAGCCTGCGGCAACTGCACTAAGCAACTTTTCAGGGTTGGGTTGGTTTAGGGTTGGTTTTGGAGGTTGGTTTTGGATTTAGGGTTGGTTTAGGGCAGGTTCGGGCGAGGGGGGTAGGTGGGTTTAGGGTTGGAGGGTGGGTTTACGGTTTTGTTTAGGGTCGGTTTTGTGTTGGTTTAGGTTGGGCGACCTCGGAGTTAAGGCTAGTTTAGGGTGGGATTAGGGTTTGTGTGGCAAGTTTGTGGTCGGTGTAAGTTTAAGGTTGGTTTCGAGCAGGTCTGTGCTGGGTGTATGGTGGGAGGGTGGGTTTTTGGCTGTGGGTTTATGATTGGTTTAGGGTTGGTTTAGGATGGATTTAGGGTTGGTTAAGGGTGGGGGTTTAGGGTGAGGGCAGGGTTGGGATTAAAGTTGGATTTACATGGTGTTAGTTTAGGCTTGTGTCGAAAGGCTTCAGGGTGGATTTAGCGTTGGCGGGTTTGCGGTTTGTCTATGTCTAGGGTGGCGTTGGGGTTGCGCTAGGGGAGGCTTGGGGTTGCTCAAGGGTGGCTTAGGGTTGATTTGGGGCGGCTTGATTTCAGGTTGGCTTAGGGTTTTTAACGGTATGTTGTTCGTTTGTTTTGGGTTGGATGTAGGTTGGTTCAGGGTGGGTCTGGGATGGTTTAGGGTGGGGTTTGGGGTTAGTTTAGGATTGGATGTGGATTGGTTTTGCGATTGGCCTATGTTGGCTTCACTGGATTTAGGATTGGGTCAAGCTCTAGGGTGCGCTTAGAGTTGGGTCAGGGTGGGTTCATGGTTAGCGCAGGGTGGGCTTATGGTTGGTTTAAGGTTGGTTTGGAGTGGCGCAGGGTTGGTTAGGGCTGGCGTAGGTTGGTTCTTGAGTTTAGTGTGGGTTTAGGGTTTTTAGGGTGGGGATTCAGGGCTGTTTTTGGGTGAGTTTAGGGTGGGGGCAAGGTTGGTTTAGGGTTGGTTTTTGCTGGGCTTGTGTTTAAGGTTGGTTTTGGGGGGGTTCGGGATTGGTGAAGGCTGGGTTTAGAGTGGGTTTAGGATTGGGTTAGGGCTGGCTTAGGTTCGTTTTAGGGTTGAGGGGTTGGTTTTAGATTGGGGTGGGATTGGGGTTTAGGTGGGTTAGGGTGGGTTTATTGTTGGCTTAGTCTAAGCTTAAGGTGTGAAGGTTCGGGTGGGTTTAGAGTTCGTTAGGGTGGGTTTAGGTGGGTTCAGGACTGGCTTGTCGGTTTAGGGTTGGTTTAGTTTGTTGATTTAGGGTTGATTTAGGGTCGTTTTGGGATTTGTGGCGGGTGGGTTATGTATGCTTTAGGGTGGTTTCGAGTAGGTCTGTGGTAGTGTAGGGTGGGTGTAGCTTGGCTTGGGGTGGGTTTAGAGTTGGACAAGAGATGCTTCTGGTTTGCTCAGGGCTCGTTTAGCGTGATTTGAGATTGATGTAGAGATATTGGGGGTTGGCAAGGTTTGGCTTAGGGCGGGCCTAGGGTTGGTTTGGGTTGGGTTGGGTGCGGCGTGGGCTTAGGTAATTTTAGGATTAGGGTGAGAAAAACAAGGTTGCGGGGTGAGCTCGCGGGTGAAAAAACAAGGCGGAGGGTGAAAAAAAACAAGGCAGAGGGTGAAACAAACAAGTGAGGGGTTGAAAAGAAAGGGTTTCTCAGGGTTGGAGAAACAAGGTTCCCGCAAACGGTTCCCGAGCAGGGTTTGAGGGTTGAAAAAAGGAAGGGTTAAAAAGACAAGTTCGGAGGGTGAAAAAAAGGAGCCAGAGACACACTTCACGCACACACACTAACATACGCCCACACACTTCACGCACACACACAAACACAAACACAAACACACACACACACACACAAACACAAACACAAACACAAACACAAACACAAACAGACACACACAAACACAAACACAAACACAAACACAAACACAAACACAAACACAAACACAAACACACACACACACAGACACACACAGACACACACAGACACACACACACAGACACACACAGACACACAGACACACACAGACACACACAGACACACACACAGACACACACACACAGACACACACAGACACACACAGACACACACAGACACACACAGACACACACAGACACACACAGACACACACAGACACACACAGACACACACACAGACACACACAAACACACACACAGAAACACACAGAAACACACAGAAACACACAGACACACACAGAAACACACAGAAACACACAAACACACAAACACACGCAACCAAACATACACACACACAGACACACAAACACACAGACACACGGACACACACACACACACCCACCCACCCACCCACCCACCCACGCACGCACGCACGCACGCACGCACGCACGCACACAGACACACACACAGACACACACAGACACACACAAACACACACACTGAATTGGAAAACACACACACACACTCACATACACACACACACACTCACACACACGCGCGCACACACAGGCAAACACACACACACACACAGAATTGGAAAACACACATACACACTCACACACACACACGCGCGCAAACACACAGGCAAACACACACACAGAATCAAACAACACACAAACACACTCACGTACACACACACACACAAGCACACCCACACACTCACACACACACAACTCACACACACAGACACACACGCACACACACACACACGCACACACACACACACTCACACACACACACTCACACACACACACTGACACACACACACACTCACACACCCGCACCGGCGCACGCACACACACAATCAGAAAACCCCCAGACCCCACCCACATACACACAGACCCACTCACACACACATGCAGCACGTGCATGCGGTCACACTATCAAGAGGAAGGTCAGGAACAGCAAATGTAGACATCACCAACACAAAGAAAATCAACAGGACAAGGGTCAGGACAAACAGAACAAATGCAGGTACGGCGACCTGGCCACCCAGGTTGATTTCAACGCTTCAGATATAATTCATGGCTTTGTCTTTCTTGGCCAGCGCATGCCACATGCACCGCGGACACTACACACAAACACTTTGCCCAATCTGTCTCTTCCCGCCTCCTGTGAAAAAAGCCGCAAAGGTGCTCTTGCAGAGCATGCGCAATAGAAAACGCCTGCGTGCTCAGTGTAAAAGCAAAGCAACACGTGACATGCATGCAAAAGCGTGGATTTCAGGTTCATGAAGTGCAACATACAGGACAACAAACTAAATGCGCGAACCATCAGGATGCAAATGTAACAACTATGCCTACTTTCCCTGGCCAGCGGCACCAGGCCTGATGCGACCAGCGACGCTGTGGCACTGCCGTGGTCATGCCGCTTGTTGAAATTGCCGGGCCGGTTGATGTTTGCCTTGGCCGCACGCTGCAAGATCTCAAATGACATATTGTATTAATGGCTATGGGTATGATCGCGTCAAGCATGCTCGGCACGCCTCACCAGTCTCGCAAAATTGACATAAGTTAGCAATCACATGAGCTGTCAAAGCTACAGCCAATATTCGTTGGGCCCCAAACTCAGACGTGCAACCCATTTCAGAGTGTCGGGTTGTGTGCGGTGTTTAGGGTTAATGTTGTCTTTTCCAGGTTCCAAGCTGCAAACCTTGCTTTCAAGTCCAAGACTCCCAAAGCTGATCCGGCACCGCGTGCACTGAGCATCCTGGCTGCATGGAGCCTACCGCCAAACAAACATGCGCTCGCTACCCTTCTAAATGAAGCCTGAACTTGACTGTGGGCGGGGTCCCGAGTTGCACGAAAGCCCTACTGCTCTGAAGCCATCCTGGCATGGTGGCTTTGGGTAAAACAACCAGCTACTAAATTACAACTGGTTTTGACCTCCTGTGGCGGACCCTCTCTGACTTTGTGGCGCGCGTGTCCTAACATATCGGTCGGGATCCGCACATCCAAACAACATGGTTGCATTTTGTTGTAGCCCTAAACATGTTGGTAGTTTCGAGCAAAACATGCTCTTGTGTGCCCAAGCAATGTTGAAATCTGTTTAGATAGTTCGACTGGTGGGTTCGCCAATCGTAAGCAATACTTCGTGAACTAACAAATGGACCCTTTCGGTATTCGTAACCCAAAGAAATGACTGAGGATTGGACTGCCTAAAAGCAACGACAACATGGTTCAAAAACACTTGTTCAGCCGCAAAAGCCCACAACACGGAAGCATGTTGGGTTCTGTGTCTAATCGTTGAGTCATGTAGGGTGCGCCCAAGTGGACAATCTCCGAATGCAACAAGCTGATCGAACCGCGCCTGGCTCCAGGAAGGCAGCGAGATGCTGGTGCATCTGCCCCATGAGCTCCAAGAGCCCTTCCTGCAGCAGTCTTTCAAAGCAAGAATTCTGTGCCATCTGAACAGCACACGAACCAGGAGGCGCCACGCTGATTGTTTGAGTGCTGATTGCTTTTGCAATAGCGCACGTGCGCCCCAATGGAATTTGCCTTGTCAGCGGTTCTGCTTTTCTCGCGTAAAGGTTTTTTGCTGCGATCGTTGAACACGCACGTGGGACTAGCAACGCATCGGTGCTTCGCAACATCGGGGGGTGCCCGAGCTACTGGATAGGCTGTGTCTCTGTCTCTCTTCTGTTGCGGGGCGATAGTAGCTGATGTGGGGATGTCTTGGTCAACATAATACTCAGAAGGGGGGGTGGTGGTTGATGTTGGGGGAAATTACATGCTGCACATATGTGAACGCATCCTTGTCTGCCTTGATCATGTTGGAATGAATTTGCCTTCTCCATTGGCAGTAAAAGCGTCGCACGAGAACGGAACACTTTGCTGGAAAGTGTCCTTTGGGGCCTGATTGCTGGCTCTTTGCTTCAGCTGGGAGGAGTCAGTACGGAGATTGGAATGTGGCTTCTGACAGGAAGAAAAGGCAAGACCGCCCAGTTCCACATGGCATGGAAACGGAAGCTGCATAATCAGTCACTGTTTGTGATGAGCTCCGATCAAGACTGGATATTCTGATACATATATATATATATATATATCCAAAAATCGCCTTCCGCCTCGCCCTTCCGCGAACTTCCGCGATGGAGGTAAAACCACACGTTCTGAGACGTGTCTGAACATAAGTAAGTTTCCGTAAAGTAAAAGTAAAGCAAGCCAAGAGGAAGAGCTAGTGCTGAAAGCAAGAAGTAGACTAGGAATGGAGCAAGGATGGGACGAAGAGCAGAACGAGCAAAAGGAAGGAGAAGGACAAGCAAACGTAGGAAGCGGAGCAGCAGAACACCAGAGAAAGAAAAGGAAGGAGGAACGTGGCAACAAGCGACAAGCTACGCTATGTAACGTAAAGAGACTAGCCACCCCCCGCGCACGGCGACAGCCACAGTTGCGGGGGCTTCGTTTTGGTATCGTTTTGAGCACTAGCACGCTGCTACAACTGCGGCGTCCCCGGGCGAGAGAATGAGCAGCAGCACTGGGAAACAGACACAAGCGACATTTCACGCTAAAACAAGAGACGGGTGGGCCAGCCCCGGCGCAAGGCGATTGCTGCAATTGTATGGGTTTCGTTTTGGCATCGTTTTGGGTATCGTTCGGAGCTCCGAATGTAATGCCGGAACGAAAACAACTTTCGGACTGCAATTTTTGTCGCGCTTTTCTACAAACTCTGCCGCGGGAATCAGAAGGACCACCGAATATGATACCAGACTCGGTAGCTCAGTTGGCCCCAGGCACTCCGCGGTATCGTTTCGGAATTGTGCAGGCATCGCCCGGGGTATCGTTTCATCTCAGTACAAATCAACACATGAAGCACACTTTGACTTTGACAGCCCAGCTGAAACATCGCAGCTTCTAAGTACTAGCAGAGTACGAGCTGTCCCAGCTCAAGCAGCACAACTTTTCAGTACTCGTGTAGTACAAGAGTAAAGCTTCATCCCATGATACCACATGACCTTCCGCGAAACTTCCGCTCGCCCTTCCGCGGTCTTCCGCGACCACAGCGCCGTAACACCGAACATGCTTTCGTATTCAGTCCTGACAAAAAAATCCATACGGGGGTTTTGGTCGATCCTCATATATTTTAGTATGATAGGTTAAACAGCCTTAAGTGTGTCCAGCAACTTGCTACAATACCAACGGCATCTACAATCTTCACTCTGCCTTTTGAACACAGCGTTTGAATCATACGTATGCGATTTGTTAAGTCGGATTGAACACATCGTTGGTGACCCAAACTCTGTGGTTGCGGGGGAACTTCGCGGATGACGTCATACATCCCTTGCTGGCAAGAGTCCTCTTGGGCTCCTGTGAGATCACGGCCTAGCGCGAAAACGTCAGGCGATCTCTGTGCTGGTGTCAAGCGGCTTGGCCCAAAAAATATTGGGCGCTTCTCAAAAAAGGGGCTCCCGAAAAAGGTTTCCTTTTGAAGCCACCCGAGGAGACCGTCGATGCAGCCCCAGCAACTCTGCCATCCTCCGCAGTTGCTCACGACCCGGCCACAGCTCTGCTGCTCCAGCTTCAAGCACAAAGCTGCCTCGAACAAAACGGAAAGACTCACCTGGGTCTGTCTTAAGGGACCCCCTCTTTGGTTGGTTTTAAAGGGAAACCAAAAGGAAAACCACCATTTTGAAGGGATCCCCAAAAACAACACACCCACCTTGAACTCTCGGCCGGGCAAGCTTGCCGCTCTGGAGAGACCCTCATTGGACCACTTCTACTTTCAAGCGGTTCGGTCAACTAGGAAAAAACACCAGACGGTGTTGGAATTGCGGAGAGGTGAACGCAAACTTGGCCAAGAACAATCCATCTCAGTGTAGGATTCTTCAATACAAATCTGAGCGAGGCGCCAAACGTGCTGGTAGCTGACTCTTCAGCTTTGCCGTGTAGATACGCTCTCCAGTGGACCTGCAGTGCTTATATGGGAAAGCCTTGAAAGCAAACAGCGGGAAGGTTTCCCGGATTCCCACCACTAAAGTGAAGTGATCAACAAGGTTTGTGCAAAACCCCTACCTTTTGTTCGAGCCCTTTTTTTAGCCATCCCAAAGCCCCTCGGATAAAAGGTACCCCTTGCCACCCCCCACCCTAAAAAAGCAGCCAGCAATACGACTTTTCTCTTCACAAGCCCCTGCAAAACTTGCCCTCCACACTTGGCAGTCTGGAAAACAACCGCCCTCCAAACCTCGGGTTAGATTACTGTACCCATCCTTGTTTCAAAACACCCATTCAATGACTATAACAAATTGGTTTTGCAAAAAGCTTCTACACAATGAAGGCGGTGCAGAAAAAAAAACAAGAAGAAAACAAACTACAAACTGGGCCCCTGCATGTTGTTTCGTCGTTACCAAGTCACTTCAGCTAGTGATCTACGTCATAGCAGCCACCCCTGACTCCAATGTCATTTTGTAGTGGGCGAGTTGGCTCTCAATCCTGCCAGTGTTCCAAATGGACTTGACACCCATTCTAGAGGAAACATGTAGTTAGCAAACAAGTCCATACAAGCACAAACAAATATGTCAAGGGGGATTCAAAAATAAGGCTTTCAAAGTCACAAATGCTACGAATACTACCCTTCAAGGGCCAGCCACCCCCCCGCTCTCCTTCTCCCCTGTGCCTGATTGCTGTCCTCGGGACTTTCCGGCTGGATCGAAGGCTCACAAAGTGCCAGGGTCCTGCCATCCAAAGTGTCTGAATAGCTGGTGGAGGTTTTGCCAACTAACCAACCAACCGACCAAACTAACCCACCGACCAACCAACCAACCAACCGACCAACCGACCAACCAACCAGCCAGGGAATCAGAACCATCCCTAGGAATAACTCACACCTCATCCCTCAATAGCTTGCATGGATATCTTGCTGTTCGTCGGCTATGTGGGCCAGGGTGCCCAACATTTGACCAGTGTGAGGCACTTGGACCTAACAAGTTCAGACACTTGAGATGAACTTGCGGTCAGCACCTTGTGCCGCCCAGAAAGCTGCTGCCAGCCCCCAGAACCGGAGATGCCAGGATTCGCCGGCTCGCTCATGGCGCGACATAAGACATGGAAACGCCGTGATATGCCGTGATTGAAGCAAAGAGCTTATGAAAATACTTACCAAAGGCAAGTCACCCCAAACAACAGGATACACAATCATTCAAGGCTTCACTTGACAAATTCACAAATGAAACGCCAGCACATGTTAGCCTACATAATTCTGCTAGACTCTTCGACGGAACTAGGCACGGCCCTTGGTCGCGTGAGACGGCCCATGGCCAAGTTGCTTTCGAGTGCTTCGTTCTGCTCCGCAGGCTGCAAATCAAATCCTTTCCATGAATATGGGGGGAGCCTTTAAGAAAGCACTGCAAGATTCTGCAAGATGCCAATATCAATGCACCATCTCAACGTGCCACCTACCAGGCCCAGACCATCCTCCCCAGTTGCATGATTGCCCCAAGCGAACGCAACACACACACACACATATAAGTAGGCACGTTACCAGTAGCCTTATGCTTTTTCTTCGCTGGATGCTGGCTGCCAAGTCTATATATTCGGCTGCTCTCTGAGCATGCTCCAGCCAAAGAAGCCACTGCTCGGCTTTCAGAACTACCGGGCTCTTTAATACAAGCAGTCGGCGCAGCTGAGGTGATGGACTCATTATCTCTAGCGCATCGCACCCAGTATAGGGCCTTGCTCAAGGTTCACACCACTTGGCCGCAGCACGGTGACCCAATCGTAGGGATGCGGGCCAAACGCGACAGCTCAACGAAGGCAGCAAATTATTGCAATGGACCTGAAAGCGAGCCTCTTGCAACACCATCAACTATGATCTGCTGCAAATTCCAGAGCTGTCCTGTGCTACGAATACCTTTTCTGGACTTGACTCGATTGTGTTGGTCTGCCTTTGCTTAAATTTGCACAGTCTCTCGGTGAACGGCATCAACAGTTCGTGGAAGTTACGCCAAAAAGTAGCAATAGGAGCGCATTCTACAGGTTGAGTCGACACTGTTGGATACATCGCAATCCCCTGTGCAACACGCTCTTGTTATCCACTCACCACGACAACAATGACTTGTGCTGGTGATTGATGGTGTTGTGATGTCGAGCCATCAATGCACATGTCTGAATGATGTTTGCGCAGCATGGCTTGATTCAGCCGTCACATAGCAAGTGACCGAGTTTAAGCAGACTGGTGTCACTTAATCGCCTGGCAAATTGAGTGGGCATCAAGTAGGCTCTCATGCGCTCGGCCACGTACGTGTCCCAAAAAGAGCGCAGCCTCGTGAATTCTAAGTTGAGCTAGGTCTTCCTTTAAAAACGCGCGCAATCTGAAAACGCACCAGGCGAACTGAAGCACAGGCGATGACCAACACGTCAACCGCGAGTCCGGTCTTAGCTTTCCAGCGAGACATAAATCGTCTGCCCGTTCAGCTCTCCTCGATCGAAGGTCTGCACGGCCTTCAGTCACGCGATCTCACTCGCTGGCTGCAAGGTTTATCAGCTAGCTTTTGATCGACCACTTCACATTAGTCTTTGTCGGCGTTCACATTTGGTAGTTGTCGGCGAAAGAACAGGCACACCTGCCATCCTACCTGAATCCTACCTGTCCCGGATACGGTACATGACAGAAATGGAGGCGACAAATTCAAGAAATGAGCTTTTACGCAAGACTGCCACAAAATGGTGTCATAACTAAGGAGAGTGAGATCCCTGCGATTCCGTGGTAATCTGGTGAGCCTTCCTCCCAGACAACAGCTAAATATAAATCCAGCCGCGTGATTCGTCAACTGTAGCTTGGCTATTCCCTGTCATGTTCATGCGGCTCCGCCGTCAGATCCAAATTTCATCATTGAGCTGCTCAAATGATACAAGCTTGTACAACCCAAAGGAGACAACCATGCAGTAAATTCCACGACTGACAGTGTGCTGGCACATTGATGTCTTAACTACTACATCGTCAGTTTTTGTTGGGTACATGAAATCTTGCATGTGGACAAACCTCTTGCTCATCAGTTCATATGTTTTTTAGCGCGGCTTAGAGGCTTTTGAAGGAAGCCCAAAAAGACCCAAGCTTCTCACGCTGGGTTTTTTGTTCGGATTCACGGAATCAAGCTTCAGGCGACCGTATCATGTGCAAAGGATCACTCACCATAGGTGGCCTTCTGGAAAAATCGATGGCCCTGGCAAATGGAATAAACTCCAACTAACCTAAGCAGGACTCATATGATTACCATGCCCGTTCCATTCCATGTCCTTCACTTCGAAATTGCCTTCTTCGCATGGGAGGAGTTGGCAAAGCTGATGGTGGCCACTCCGCGCTCCACCTGGACGGATGGGAGTCACCCTAACCGCAACAACAGCAACAAAGGCAGCAACAAAGGCAGCAGCAGCAGCATCAGCAGCAGCATCAGCAGCAGCAGCATCAGCAGCAGCAACAACCACCTGAGGCGAACCACCAAGACATCCAAAGAGTCTTAAGTTGAGGCTCTCACCTGATTCACCCAGCTAAGCCAGGTTTACACCGAAAACATGTGCACTGATGTGGCAATGGTCACAAACTTCCTTGAAGCAGCCAACACATGCAACCGCCGACCTCGCACTTGACCACACGGCCGATGTCCTCGAACGCCTCCTGAATGTCCCTGTCATCCAGATTCTTGGGCACCTGGCACAAACAGGCGTCACGAAAGATCCGCCCCAGTCCTTTATCAACTCCTGGGCATCCAAAGTGCTGCGACTCTGAGGTCCGCACGTTGCAAACTCGAATCGACTTCTTCACCGAGCGGTCCACAGCTTTCTCTGCTCGCTCCACCTCACAAACCCCAGCTGGTTGATTTGCTGCCTTTCGCTTCCCGGTTGACAATGTGGTGCTCCCCCCTTCACATTGACTCCTGTTTTGAAGCCAGCTCCAAACATTTGGCCAAAGGGTCACGCTATTGTTCAGTCTTGCACAGAAACTCTCGGGTTCTGGAACGCTTTGCCAATTTGCACTGCTTGGGAAAGTTCCTGCAGTGTAGTCCGGACTCTGTGGCATACCAATCAATCGGTGAAAACTCGGATGTCATCTTGCGAGCGCAAGCAACGTATTTAGTAAGAAAGCGAATTCATGGACACCCCACAACCTTATCACCATATGATAAACAATACGTGCACATATGTGTATGTGTGTATAACATGCATGCATGTGCAAATATATTTATATACATATACAGCATATACATTTGCAAAGTTGGCATGTACATCTGTATACACCGATACTCATATTTGAGCATCATGTGTATGTGTGTGTGTTGCTCGATGACAATCAATCGCCTATCATTTGCAAAGCTGATGATGGTCCTACATGCTCCAACCACTACTGGTGCAAGCCCAAGCTCAATCACATACATCATGAGATAAATGAGTGTATGTGTGTACGTATCATATTATGAACATATATCATTGTCAGTATACTTACCATCATTAATCATTGTTAGTGTTGTTCTGATCATTACTATTGCCACCACCACCCACCGACCCCACCCACCCCACCCCACCCCACCCCACCCCACCCCACCCCACCCCACCCCACCCCACCCCACCCCACCCCACCCCACCCCACCCCACCCCACCCCACCCCACCCCACCCAAAACCACCCACCCAAAACCACCCACCCAAAACCACCCACCCAAAACCACCCACCCAAAACCACCCACCCAAAACCACCCACCCAACCATCCAACCATCCAACCATCCAACCATCAAACCATCCAACCATCCACCATCCACCATCCACCACCACCACCACCACCACCACCACCACGATCACCATCACCACCATCATCACCCCATCACCATCACCATCACCATCACCATCACCATCATTATCATCATCATCATCAGCAGCATCAGCAGCATCAGCATCAGCATCAGCATCAGCATCAGCATCAGCATCAGCATCAGCATCAGCATCATCATCATCATCATCATCATCATCATCATCATCATCATCATCATCATCATCATCACCATCATCATCATCGCAATCATCATCACCATCATGCTACCGCGTTAAGAACCATTGGTGTTCTTCTGTTTGTGCCGCGCTTTCTAGACTGACCAAACACTTTGCGTGTCCTCATTCCAAGCTTACTGGCCTCAAAATGGCAACATAAATTTACTGCTCGCCCTTACCATTTGTTGGAGCCGGATGTCATCGCCACCGGGGTGAAGCCTTTGCAGCTGCCGTGAAAGCAAAGGCCGCAAAAAAAGAAGAAACAACAACTTGCCTTTTGTAAAAACCCTAGGCTTTTCAGAGTGCCAATTGAACAAAGATACGCTTCCAGAAGGTGTTCCGTGCGTAAAAGGTTCATTGGCAACGTGCCCGCATTTGCGAATTCCCCTTATGCAAAACACATTCATGCGCATGGAACAATAGAAGCAACCATCCATGTTCCTTCTTCAGCCTTGTCTGCTTTTCTCGAGCTAAAACACACGCGCAGCTTTTAATCCGGCGAGATATATTAGTACACATGTATGAGCAGCACACACGACAAGTTCTTCCACTCTGCAGTTTGGTGCTCCAGCAAATGGGGCGTCCCTTGTACCTGTGTCAGTTTTAGAGTTTCCCAAATTTGGAACACACACACACACACACTGCCACACAGTCACACAAAGACCCAAACACACACACACACACCCATACGCACTGAGATGATCTGAGCCCTCCGTGAGGCCGCGGCCCGCTCCACTCGCTCAGTGCGCTCAGGTCGCTCCCGTTCCTCCCGTTCGCGGACGGGACGGGTGGCCAAGGCCTGAGCGCCATGCCCCAAGCTCCGAGTCTGCGCAGGGCACTCCGAGTCTGAGCCACTTGAAATGGGTGTGCCTTCTTTTAGGGGACCGCAATGACGGTCGTCCTGGTGGTTTCCCTTGAAAAGCACAATCCAGAAGGAGGTTCCTAGATATATATATATATATATATATTAGAAAAAAGACACAGATCTTTGGAATGGGATGAGAGATTCAGGGAAAGCCCTTAGGGTTCGCTCATTTTTACACATCGCATGGCTCCTTGTAATTGAGGGGACACACACAAACAAACATGTCCCTTGATGGTTTTGCTAAGTTCCCTTCAAAAGGGGGCCTGACCATCCCTCCACCCGCCAAGTAAGTCAATGCTGTGACCGTGGCAAAATGGTCGAGTCATGCTACAAAACGGGGATCACTGTTGCTGGCTCAATGCCAAACAACAGCACAAGGGCAAAAGCAAAGATCCCAAGTTTGACATCCCATATTTTGTGATGACGGTTCCCTCAAGAGGAATCCTTGGGATTGCAGTCGAATGAGTGATTATCATCATTTTTCCCGTATCATTCCTTTTTCGCCAGGTTGCAACATGCTTCAAACGCGAAATCTTGCAATCGACCCACCCAAAATCATCAATGTCAAAATGCATGCCCCTGGTTCCCTCTAAGGTTCAACGGTGTGCCCAAGGCTGCCAACTGAGGCGGTGTCGCGCTGAACAGGAAGTGCGGGGGGGGCCCTGGCAGATGCGGGCTGCTGTCTTTGTGGCTGCTCCAACGCCTGTTCGTTCCAAGAATCCCAGAAAACGGTCCCTGATTTGGACCAAAACACATCATATTATGCGAGTCCGCAATCTTTGGCCAAGTTGCCCACTGGTTCTGACTAGCCCGCGGCACACCCTGCAGCCTGACCCTGCAACGGCAGATCAAAGCCAAGCCGCCCTTTTTGGAGCTTTCTGCTTCAAAGGTCCGCTCTTCGGACCATGCCTCTGCTGCGCCTTCTCTTTCGAGGCTTGTTCTTGTCCGGGTTGCTTGAGGAAGTTGCGGCACAAGAGCAACACAACAACTCACACAACCTTCCAATTCCTGATTCCCCGCCCTGGCCGGACCTGACATTTGGTGGTTTTCACCGGTTTTCGCGCCTCAGGGGCCCGGTCGCCCCAGCACCGGCAACTTCACCGACGGCGCCGGCGGCGGCGCACGACGAGGGCCCGGCTCGAAAGCCTCAAAGGCCAAAGCCGTGCCCACAGATCCGGTGGCCATGAGGATGGCCGTCGCCGCGAGGCTGAACTCCAAACCTGGAACGAACAAAATCACGCAAGTCGAAAGACGGAACAAAATCACGCGAGGAGCGGCGAAGAAAGGCGAGAAGGCGGAAAAGACCAAGCCCCATGCAGAGTTCTTAGTCTAACATGGCAGGGCACAATCCTTACATGAGCCTTGAGTTCCTGGAAGGGGGTAAACAAACATACCCCCTAATTTCCAGAGGGCCTGAATTGAGCGCTGTGAGATCTTAGCTAATGACGTCAAACTGCATGGCCAAAGGACGTCAACTGCCTGAACCATGACAGCATCTGTAGCATGCATGAGTTCCTGTCCGAAGCCGAAGTGTATATAATCAATGGCTGCTCAGGGCATGTAAGACTCCTCCGTGGCATCGCATATACACATGCATGTATATATATATATACACATACCATATGTATGTATTGCAATATATGATTGTACATCGTGACTCTTCATTCAACACTTGACAGTCACAAGACAAATCCACACCTGCATGCTGGGAATCTGATACTTTGGGCTCGTCGACAATAACAGAATAATATGCGCACCCCCTGCCCCGGAATGGCATGTCCAAACCCCTGCCCCCGCCCTAATCCTACGCCCCCTCACCCGCACCCCAGCACCCCAACAAACAAGCCAACTAATTTCACACCTCTGCAAACCCGAAACCACCCCCAAAACACTAAACCAACCTCCTTCCA